TGTCTAGGCTCGGCGTAAGCCTCTTTGTTCTTTATTGTCAAGGCTAGTGTAATTTCTGCTACGCCGTCGAAGCAACTTCTGCATGCGAACAAGATGCAAGACGAAGCTACATGCTCGTGCTCAGTGCATGACCACATGTGAAAACTAATAGCGAGTTTGTTTCGCTGCACTCGTGCCCATGCGCAGCCACTCGCAACATGAAGTGAGTTTGTTTCGCCGCCGGCACTCCACACGTGCATGCGCTCGCTGCACCCTGAGAATTAAGTGTGTACCTGAATGCACTCCCGTCATGCATCACTTAGGCAGGGAACAAGAGCAGATGACTGGTTTGTCCACCATGCGGGACAGTAGAACTGCAGAAAAAGTGAATTTCTGCTAAAAAAATGACGTCCCACGAGCAACAAAACCGGACACGAGCTTGAATTGTGTGTCTGCTATTCTATAAAGCAAGCAATCCACAACCTGTGCTTAATTTGCAAGTTTTCAGTCATTTTGTTGCCGTACAGACGTCCAAATACACCGGTGGATAAAGAAAGGTTCAGAACGAACATCAGCCACTGCGAGATATCTCTCACCATGTGTGCGGAGCTAAAGAGTTGGGACGTTAGTTGACAAAGCTTGCCCGGCAGAAACCTGCGACGCGTCCAGTCGGGAGCCGAGAAAGCTAAACTGTTTTTACCCGAGGCTTGGATAAAATCACAGTGTTTAATAAGGAGCCATGGAATTTATTTTGGGTGGGATAAATTAATTTAGATTCGTATTTTGCTAATACAGTTGAACCTTTCAAGAACGAAATTCTCGCGGCAACGAAGAAATCTGGCGGCCCCAGCGAACGTCCATAGGGTTCAATGCATTTGCACCCTCTCAACAGCAAAGAGTTTTTAAAAAGCAGTCCCGCATTAACGAAAGTTTGAGGTAGTGATCTGCCATAGAGTTATTCAATGTGTCTACCAAGTTGGCATTTTCAAATTCCCCGAGTTTTTCAGGTTTCCCCTGAGTACTTTTATGAATTTTTCTGAGTGACACAGAACTTTGTTTTAGGTCAAGATGGGCGGACACCATGTCGCTAGATGCTGTCACTCTCTAAAAAGCATGTCATAAAATAAAATAACAACACAATACAGTTTTGATGATAGTGAGTAACTTTTATTAGATTTAAAAAGAAAACAGAACGATGTGGTTAGTAAAATTGATAGCGAATAAAGTATAAAAAAAGGTAAACTGAGGTTTACGTGACCCCCCCAGGTCTGGTCATGTGACCTCAGGGGGGGGGTGTCGAGACCTGACGGTGACGCCGCTCAAGCCGGAAACGGGAGCAATAACGGGGAAAGGAAAGGGTAAACAAACATAAGGCATTCAAAGTGTGATTGCTCAGCCCTTGTTGTCAAAACACTCCACCTGACAAAATCTTTTTTTTTTTTTGGGGGGGGGGGGGGGGGGGGGGGGGGGGGCTAAGGAGTTGCACAGTGACAGCGGTGTTTGGGAAAATGAGCGCACGCGACCGTTCCAACAGCGGGCACTCCCTGCCCTCCCCACGCGCGCAGGTGCCCTTCCCCTTGCTTTTGCCATCCTCCACTTCTTTTGTTTTTATTGGTTGCTTTTTTTATTTTTTATACAATTGCTTTTTCGCTGCGCATCCCCGCGTGCGCATTCCCGGGTGCGCGTATGCTGGCTTGGCGGTCTGCCAGCCCCGCAACCCGAGCTATGTGCTCCCGGCCGGCGCAATCCGACCTATAGGGAGAAGCGAAGAACCGCCTTCATCTTCGTTCCCTACATCGAGTGTCCCCTCCATGGGAGTTATGGGCATTCGATACAGAAAAACAATGCAATTTTCTAGGGGATGTTTGGACTGTTTCATATAAACAATAATTCGAAATACGGGTGTGATATAACCGGGTTCGACAGTATGTTTGGCCGTCTCCCTTAATTTCCAGATACCTTCGTTCGTTTGGCACATATATCACCGATGCTAGAAAGCGCCGACGTCGTGTTTGCGCTGAGAGTGTCCGACAGTGCACATAAATACACGTGTGAAGCCGTTTTTGCACCATTTTTTTTTTCCCCCATAGAAATGCATTACCGGAAGTCAATTTTCGACTGGTTGCTGTCTGCTTCAACTTGCGTCGGCACACTAGCGCCACTTGAACCTCTAGCGTACATTATAATAACCCTATGTGATCTGCAACATTTTTTTCGTCACATGAGCCAGTTTGGAACCCAGAATTACGAAAAGTGGAGCAGTACACTCGTCCGGCAAGTTGGGCACATGCGTTTCCAACAAGCATCAGCGCGGCCATTGCTGTTTACATTCGGTCAAAAAATAATAACAATAGCAACTAGATTCTTTTTTTTTTTTGGTTGGTGAAAACAGCGTTTTGCAAGCCAATCTGTTGGCAACTACCAAGGTATGTGACGTTTCACAAGACGACACCGCCCGCTGCTATTTCGCCGACACCGCAGTTGCTGACGAGCTAATGCTCTTCAGCAACTGACGGATTAGCTCCTCCCGCATCGAATACGCGGCAAAGAAGTTTGTCACATCGCGGCAATTTCAGGCGATCGATTAATTAGTTCTATCCAATTTTTACTAAGAATTGTTTACAAATGTAAAATTGCTCGCTGAAAAGCGCATCACACATTATGCGCAATTGGGACCGAAAAATTAAACATACAAACGGTAGGAATTCATAGCAGGTGTATACCTAATTTTTTGGGATGCTAATTGTCACCGACTTACTAAATTTAAGGCTTCGGTCGCGAGGGGGTCTCGCATGCTTCACGTCGATCGAGTGAACAAGCAGGGATTTCATTGAGACGACTCTGGAAGCCAGCCACCGTCAATGCCAGTTGTTTTGAGGGAATGTTTGTTTACTGGTTTAGAAAGACCAAAAATGAATCAACTTGGGACTAATAAGAAATCAGCACTTACAAAACACATCGGAACCACCAAGATACACGGAGTCGCTTTCACTGAAGTGTTTACTACACAGGTTAGAGATTCCCGAATTTCGCTTTCCTATTTTCAATTTAATGAGACATTTCTTTCTCAGCTTTATTTTGTCTGAATAATAATAAAATAAATACACCCTATTCGCCATGCTAGCTAGATGTTGTAGTGGGGTAAAGCGCTGGATATTCTATTTTAATTGTCCATATTTTTGTACTGGGGTGGAGAACAGTACATCACCATCCCAGCATTTCGACACCTTAGTGCCAAAAGTGTTTGTTAGCATGACTACGCGTGGCACGGTTTCAAGTATAACTTCACCAAATAAAAACAATGCGCGAAATGGGCTTTGCTGCGCGATACAGCGCATAACGCTGACTGTCGAGCCGAAGGTTCCAAGATCTGCGCAGTCTGTCCCAGTGTGCCCTACCCGTGACGTCAAAAACGACGATGATGATAGCTAGTTAGCGCATGCCGCCAAAGAGTTGTAAACTGCGGACGTTCCGTCCGGAGTTGTCTGTCTTGGATCCTGCTCATTCCGTATCATGTAGGGGAGAGTATGCCATCCTGCTGGCCTACTGTCGCACACTGCCTGTGTTAAACTTTCAGAACTCTATGAGCCGAGAAATTGATGGAGAGGGGGAGACGAGAGTGCAGGGACATCAGAACGCAGAGGCAGCTAAACCTAGGTGCCTTTGTCTTCACTGCACTTGTCAAAGACGTTCGAGTGCGAGAGCCAAACGCCGGGGGCGGCCTTTGGCATTTGCATCCCAATATGTTCGACGAGTGCAGTGGAGACAAAGGCAGCCTTTGTTTCTGCTGCACTCGTCGAACACATTCGAATGCAGAACGCCGGTATCCAGCTTTGGGCTCTCGCATTCGAACGTCTTTGACGAGTGCAGTAAAGACAAAGGCACCTAGCTTTAGGTGTACCCACTAATCATTCGAACCAGAGCTCGGGTGTCCTGACATCCACACCTGCTCTCGTCCTCACTTTTCCCTCAGTTTCTTGGCAGATTTTAGGGGAAACTGTGTGGGTAGGGGAAGGGGGGGGGGGGGGGGGACGGCCCCCCCTGAAGCCTTCGAGGTTAACTTTTTCTAAAAAAAAAATGGACTTATGCCGGCTTTTGTTAGGAAGAAATTAAGTTTTTGACAACGTGACTAGTACACTCGGTTGGAAAACTGCTATAGGAGCCTCCTTTGAAAAAGTGGCTTCAATCCATATGAGAGAATCAAACTAAATGCAATCGCAATGCCACTGTTTCTCCCGCGGTGGCCACTCCGTGAACTACACTGCTGCACTGACTGGTTCCGTAGATTCTCGGAAGGGCCACTGGTGTCATCTCGCAGGGCCATCTTGGAGTAGCTATGCAAGGCAACTTTCATGTTTTGACTTGTTGCTAAAGAGTGGCACTGTTATCATATTTAGTTTGGTCTCGGTGGACGCCAGCAGTCCAGGTTCCAAGGTTGAGTTTCCTAGCTGAGTGTTTTAGTAACGTTGGTTTTTGGTGGCATAACAAATATTAGGTAAACAAAACAGATCTTGCCCTGCATGTTAGGGTCAGATATTAGTTACTGTTCACCTGATCGACCCCTTTGTTCTCTGCATTCATCATAGGTTTCAAATCGTCCTGATTCATGGGCCAAGCCTTTGAAGACTGCACTCTTAGGCCCAGTCCTTTTTGGTGGATCGGATCTTGCCATCTTCCCCTCTCGTGGCTTCCTGTTGTACTTAAATAAATTGTCATATTTTTTTCTTATGGTGGTGCATACGTTTTGCCACACTTCACAAAAACAGTGTGGTGAATCCATGCCGCAGATTACTGTGAAACGTGCAGGAAGGGTAAACTCCGAAAAGGTTTATGGAAAGAAGATAGACATCCCCCATTAATATTTTCTGGACACTCTAAGCGTGCTATCTACGCAGTATTTCTGCCTATCATGGCATCGGCTTTTGACCATTCACGCTTGCAAGGAAAGGCTATCAGCAAGAAGGGTTACGAAGTCTGTGTTCTGTTTGCATTTAATTACTGAAACAAGATTTATAGACTTTACCAAGTGTATTTTAACATAACTAAATGTTTAAACTTTAGATCTTTATTTTAAACTTTACCATTATTTTAAGAAGTTTTTGCTAGGGTAAATGTTTTCCATAAGTTTTTTTTTTCTTTCTTTTATATATCGGATAAAGGGATTACATTTGTTCTCTGAGTTTTTATAGAAGCCCCATCGCTATCACCATCACTATTTTGATTTTTCCAAGATGGCCGTTTTTGTTTCGCGAACGTTCTGCGACGAGAGTTCGGCAACTTGCGTGACTTACGAACAGAACTGCCTAATTGGTATGTTAATTTTGGTGGCTACTTATCGCGGAATATCGTGGGTATCTTGTATTTGTACAAGAACTAGTATATAAGGTTCAGATTGTTCGTACAGAACGTTAGCTCGGCGGGTCTAGTCTCTTCTAAATTGCTTGGTTGCCTTTTGTCCACGTTTATTTCCCTCCCAAACCCATCACACACTGGTTCACTTTCTGTTTCCAGTACCTACAATTGAGTAAATTGTTTTAGAGGAGGGGATGCCCAGCTTCAGCAGCTTCAATGTGCGAGGAACACTCCAGCCCCCTCAACAAAGCTGGAGGTGCGGATAGAGTTGAAATTTTAACTGACTAATGAATGCTGCATCGGATGTTATGCAGTAGCAAGTCATGACATTTTTGTATTTATGTCGTGCATCGGCCGTAAAGCGAAACTTACGTTGCGTAGGTTACATAGGACGTAACTAACTTTTATTTTGGGTTCTGTTGGTCATAGCTTTAATTTTCATATTAGGTTACGTCGGACCAAACTTTATTTTTCATATTGGGTACCTTAGATGTAACTCGAAATCTTGGGGTAAGGTTACGCTAGACACTGCGTTGAAAGATGCACTTTTATTTTTTTGAAAAGTATTCTTCAACTTACGGCAGTGGCGAATAGCACTTGTGTTGATGAGATGTTTTGATTCCGCATGTCCGGAAAGTTGCCGGGGCAGCTGTCGACTATCTATATAGGACGGTAATGTTGCAGGTACAAAAGTGAATAATACACCGTGTTGAATATTTATTTATTGGTCTTTTTCGGCAGTGCCGCTTGTGCCTGGACAATGGAAGATGATGCAAAGGCCAAAAGAAAGCTACTCTGCATCTGCACTCTGAATAATGTGATGTCTCGGTAGCTACACATGCTTTGTTAAAGGGAAGTTTATTTCGCCACTTGCTAGGCATCATTGAGGTGATTTGGCTATGTGCCTTTATTTTATGCTAATAGAATGTACTGCACTTACAACTGCTTGTTGTAGGTGCAGCCTACAACAATCAGTTGCAAAGGAGCACCGTTTAGTGAATCCATTCGATTAACATAAGCAAGTCTGGAAGATGCTAAAGACTAGAGCATGATGCACTGAGGCATGTTGACCTATGCTTGAGCACCCACTCTCCTCTCTTGGGCTGTAAACCAGGCAAAATGTAAAATTATTCTTGCGAAAACAGCAGGGATGTGGCATGCATAAAAACTTGTCGATCATGCTCTGAATATGCTGGCCGCCCAAGCGAGCGACTCACTGACTGACTGGTTCGGCTTTGCCATCAGCCAAGGCAGGACAAGCAAATGCTAGAGCAAGCAGTCAAGTTCGGTGAATTTTGTTTTTCTAAAAACAAATTTGCTAAAAGGAGATTCGTTGCCATTTCCTCTAAACGGAGTGTCTTCTTGAAAGAATTCCAATAAAAAAGGGGGTTTCAAAACTTGTGCTTGGAAAAATAGATGCCTCTGCTCGGGCCGTACACATCAACTTTCTTGGATCTGTCGGTTGACAAGCTCCATAGAAGAGCAGCAGTAAAAAAAAAAAAAAAATTGAGACGTTTACAATTCTTTGTAACATGAAATTAGAGCGCAGCGCTTGAGTAGGAGGAGGGGAGGTTATGCCTCTCCTATCCCTCCATACCCTCTCCTCCCCCTCCCATTTAGCAGGCAATTTTCGCTAAATTTCCCCGCTAAATTTAGCGGTTTAAGTTTCCTCTCTAAATCTTGTGGGGAAATTGATGTCACACAACCTTAACACCAATTCAGTTTCCCCGCTATATTTAGCGGGGAAACTGAATTGGTGTTGAGGAAACAACCCTGCTAAATGGCACATGACTTCATGCCACGTCACTCACAAACAAATTCAGTTCCTCAGCTAGATTTAGCAGAAAAAGTGACATTGCGTGACCTCAACACAAATTCAATTTCTCACTAAATTCAGCAAGGTGATCATGCAGACGGCGACGCAATGAAGCGTGGAAATGGGCACCTAAGAGCTGCACTCTAAACCAGTTTTTCTCTGTTGCCGGTGCACAAGCAGGTAAGGGCGGATAGCATTCCTAGTGCCAATTCCTTTGCGGTCAACGAAAAACGCTTTTTGAACAACGCTCTTTCTGTTTTAAGTATTGTGCAGGCCTTAAGTTTACTATAAGAACAACAACAACAAAAAAAAAATCACTTTCCACTGCAGGTAATGTGCATCCAACGTTCCACTGGATCTGTCCAAAGGGCAGGCTGATACTGCGGCAGACGCCACTGAGCGGACACACTGCAAAAAGGCGTCGGGCGTTTTCCGAAGTTTGTCAAGTGACCTAGATCTGAGAACGTTGGTACATGTATTGCTACCGTTGCCAAGCAGGACTGGAGATTGTTAGAGTGTGAACAATGTTCACACTTTGGTCAATGCAAGCACATCTTTTTTTTTTATAGTAATATTGACTAACAAGATTGCAGCAATCAAACAAGTTAACACCGAAATGTTAAAAGCAATAAAGAAATTAAAGCCCGGCTGTTCTGCGAGTGCAGATTTTATATCCTGCTTTATTTTAAGGGCTGCACTGATTTGTTTGCCCCTTCATTAAAGGGGCCCTGCAACCATATTTAAGCGTCTACCTTTTTTGCGGTTTCCACGTCTCTTGGCGTTCAGGCAAGCCAGCGGGCACGGAGAAAGTAACTAAATGTCAGTGCGTCATATTTTAACCGGCCGACGCAGAAACCTCCTTTACCTACGGGGGCAACCCGCATTGCTGAAAGCGCGCGAAATGCGACGTCTTTGGTCCTGGGCTTACTAGTGGTCGGAGCCGCTAAAAGCTAAAAGAACCGTTTCAATTATTTGTGAAAGTAGTTTTTGTTCAGTATTTTAGACCAGAAAAGAAACAAATGCAGTTTATAAAGTACGGAAACAAGAAACGACCCTTCGACATACCCGCCACCCAAGCGGTGGAAAAGGCGGCGCATACTAGAAAGGTGTAGTGGGATCAGGCAATGACGAGGGCAAGCGTAGAAAGGTCTCGGGTGTATGCGGCGGCGCTGCAGTCGAAAATCCGACCGGTTCCGAGCATTTCAAAGGCCTTCGGCGAGCAGCTTTGGCTTGCAGTTTGGCCCTTTGGCGGTATGGCAGTGCGAAGTGGCTCCCGTTCTGAACTGATCTTTACCCCGTGTTTGCTGTCGTTTGTGACCAATGAAGTGTCATGCCGAATTAGTGTTTAATCGTGCAGCAAATGCAATGCGAGCCCCCCTGGCTGCCCGCTTCATACAGCCTTTCCAGAACATGCTATATGGCACCCTCTCGAGCTGTTGACACGGAGCGCTCGCTGAGCTCACTTAGCCCTCTTCTAGTTCATCGCCACTCGAGCGACCAAGGACGTCATGAAAAAGGTTATGTTTTGCTTGTTCTTGTAATTTTAATTTGCCTATAACTTTTAAAATAAAGCGAAATTCGAGAAAAGAAAAGTTTAATTAAGTTGCACTGACTACGTTCAGTGCGCTCAGGTTCGGTGCAAATAAAAAACCAGTCAAAAAGCCCTTGCAGGGCCCCTTTAAAGCATGCATTTCATCTCCGAGAAGTTGTGATTTTTCATTGTTGTGGAAGAGGTCTCATAGCACCAGTGAAGGACGATGGTGATATATCTAGGGTAGACAGTCACTGCCTGGGTCTTTAATATAAGCTTTGAAAGAGTCTATAGTCAGTTGCAACCTAAGAACGAAGGGCGAGGGTAAGACGGGTTGGGGAGGAGGAAGCAGGCGGAACACTAAAGAGAGAAGGAGGTTTCCCCCCCTCTCCTCCAGCGTTCCGTCTGCTTCCTCCTCCCCGGCCCATCTTACCCTCGCCCTTAGGTTGCAACGGACTATAGTTGTACACAGACATGGGTCTCTTTACTCCAGTTAAAAACAGCACCATTCAATGAAATTTTTTTAGGTTGTCAGTAGAAATGTTTTTGTAAACTTGAATACAAGGCACCATCCGTTTTTCTCACTGAAGCAAGTTGATATTTTTTCTTTCTATTTATAACTAGCTTTTGACAAGATCAATTACAAATTGCTTTTGTAAAAACCTTTATTGTATGGTGTAGCACTGCCACTTTTAAAATGGTTTAATGACTAAGTCCCTCACAAGATGAGAATGGCTATGAGAAGCCTCAGTTGCCCTGCCTCGAGCAAGAGAGCTTCCTACCTTCGGCAACGCGTAGAGGCGGGACATTTGTAAGACACACCCAGCCGTTCGCATTCCATTCAGCAATGCTTAGGCATCTTGCAAACCTCAAGAATGCACGCACAGCCAAAGCACGAGGAAAGGCGATGAGTGCTCGCTGGAGGCTGAGCTATAAGACATGCCCTGCATTTCTCATCTTCCCTGCGATTATTAGCACCGAGATGTTCTGGTGATATCCTATTTCGCTCGCAACATCACGGGCGGTTTGATACTTCAACCCTATGTTCCAGGTGAGAAAAAAAAAAGTGCCTTTCATGGAAGGCTTGTCAAAATAATAGGCGCCAGAGAGTAACGGCCATCTGCGTTCAGTCCTTATTTAGAACCCTATGTTCATGTTCTGTGGCCGCATTGAAAAATACTGCAAGAGAGCCCAAGTGTGCTCCTGATCTCGCCCCACCAGTCTCCTCCTGCACAATAAATTGACTGCTACGGTCACCAAATGTCAATAGATGCACATTCGAACGCAGCAACTGAAGCCAGCTACAAACACAGTATCTTTCAAAGTATCTTTGAAAGATATCTTTGTATCAAAGCTACAGACACAGTATCTTTCCAAACAGACTGCAGGTCACCCCTCACTTGGGCGAGGGGGGTGACTCGTGTGGTCTGCTTCTGCGGTCTCCAAAAATATTTTCGTAAACAACTCCCACATCTACCTACAGTAAAATAAGCAATATTCAAAACTTAAAAAAAAAAAAAAAAAGCCGTTTACGACTCCCTGTAACGCCGGATTAGAGCGCAGCTCTTGAGGAGGAGGATGAAAGGATACGGAGGGATGGGTGACGCCCTGAGGGCCCCCTCGCTTTCGCGCTGCGGGACAGTCCCAGACACGAAGCTTTGAGGTTCTCCGGCGCGGGCTGCGGCACCCCAACACATGTGTGCTGGGCTGTACATGTCTGTTTTTTCGTTCTTTTTTTTTTTCCTCGGGCGCTTAAAAGCCGAAGTCCAAAGTCTACTCGTCGAACAGCGTTCACCCACACCTTCTCCAGTTTTTGGTCCGTTGGAAACTAGTGAAAAAGCACCTCCGTGTTGCACAGCGGGTTGTTTGAGCAGCCCACAGCGCTACAAGTTGTACTCGGCATCTTTTGAGGAACAGCTGGGCAGTCTTGGGCGCACCAAGTTGCTCGCTAAAAAGAGTCTTGGAGTCCTCACAAGCAGATAAACAAAAGGCTATAGCGAAGCTACATGGGCTACAGATAAAATCAACGGCTAAACACGCCAATCACAAGCCGAAGTACCGGTGGTAGCGGCTCGAAGAAACGCACTCCGCGCAACGCCCGGGCCGGAGGAAAAGAGAACGATACTGACGTCACGGCGCAATGTTGCTTTAGCGATCGCCAACCCGCTGGCCGCCCGCTAAGAAGCAGCGGCTTGCGGCAGGTCACATTTTTATTATCGGCATTAGTTGAGAATGCGGCGTCCCACGGACGTAATATTTTGGCTGAGGTCGTATTTTGTGTGTCTACAACGATACCAGTAATTTATTTCATTTTGAGTTTTGGCCGGAGTTGCCCTTTAAGTTGGTCAGAGTATCTGACTGCAAAGGGTTAATAATCCATTTTTAATCGACATAGAGGCGAACTAACTAGCCACTTGGCGCTTTGACGTAGCGCGTCGTCTGCTCGATCCTACCAGCACTGCTACAGGAAGGCGTCCGTGAGATGAAACCACCAAAACATCTCGTTGCCAATGGTGACACAGTGGTCGAGTCTAACATGTGAGCTAGGGCCGGCTCACGTGCTTTGGGTACCACGGATGTGTCGCACTGAAAATGCGGAAAGCTTTTGAGGGAAAGGAAGTACAAAATAGTCCGTCATGTTTTCGAATTTTCGTACCGAAAAGCAGACTTTTGACTCTCGGCCCACTGAACAATATGTTACAGTTGAACCCCGTTGTCACAGGGTTCTTTGTGGTTAATAATTGACAAAATACAATGTCCTTCGTTTTTCATGAAAACTTGTATTTACAAAAAAAAAAATCAAAGGGTTCATATGCTTATACAAAAAAAGAAAACTTAGTTAAAGAAAGGAAAACGCATCAGTCACCATGTCTTTGAGTCCCTGTGCAGCAGTGTGTCTTGTGCTGTCGTTGTCGGCCCACGTTTGTGGCTGGAAGTCAGGAACGGGAGCGGTTGGCTTCCGTCGGCGGCCCCAGAGTTACCGCACCAAGCGCTCCCGCTGTAGGAAGCCGGGGGCAGCGTAGGTTTCTATTCGCTGCCCTCGCTGGAACAGGCTGCTGGTCAGACAGTAGGAGGCCGCCGATTGCCCTGGCCGATCGTGTCGTTCCGCTCTCTGCACAATCTCCCGGCCAGTCCTTTGCACGCCCTCTGAGCACGCACTCCAAAATCTCTCTTCTTCGTTTCTCCCTCCAGGCCGATCTATGGGTTGACTTGCACTTCTTTTCCACATTAAGTCACATCATCACACCCGTAATAACCAAACCGCGGGGGAAGGAAACGTTTTTCGCTCTCGCGAGAATTTCGCTGCTGCAGAAATGGACAACTAAGCACACCTATTACTTTTCATGATGATGTCCTTGGATTTCAGAATCGTAGAAAGCGAGAAGCAAAGGATACTGAACTCCTCTGTAATATCAGGCTTCTTTCTGGCTTTGGCAGTGATCGCAGAGTTCTCCTGAAGTGCAAAAAACTTAAACTTTTTAATGGGAGGCGGCATCTTTCCGACAGGCCAAACGAAAGGTAGTAAACAAGGCGCGAGCGATCTCGGCGTGCACGCGGCGGACGGCGAAATAGCAGCAGGCGGTGTCGTCACGTACCTAGGTAGTTGCCAACAGATGGGCTAGCAAAACGCTGTTTTCACCAACCCCCCCAAAAAAGCATCTAGTTGCCATTGTCATCATTATTTGACCGAATGTAAACAGCAATGGCCGCGCCGATGCTTGTCGGAAACGTATGTGCCCAACTTGTCGGACGAGTGTACTGCTCCATTTTTCACAATTCTGGGTTCCAAACTGGCTCATTTGACGAAAAAATGTTGCAGATCGCGTAGGGTTATTGTAATGTACGCTAGAGGTTCAAGTGGTGCTAGTGTGCCGACGCAAGTTGAAGCAGACAGCAACCAGTCGAAAATTGACTTCCGGTAATGCATTTCTATGGGGAAAAAAAAACGGTGCAAAAACGGCTTCGCACGTGTATTTATGTGCACTGTCGGACACTCTCAGCGCGAACACAACGTCGGCGCTTTCTAGCATCGGGGATATACGTGCCAAACGAACGAAGGTATCTGGAAATTAAGGGAGACGGCCAAACATACTGTCGAACCCGGTTATATCACACCCATATTTCGAATTATTGTTTATATGAAACAGTCCAAACATCCCCTAGAAAATTGCATTGTTTTTCTGTATCGAATGCCCATAACTCCCATGGAGGGGACACTCGATGTAGCGAACGAAGGCCGTTCTTCGCTTCTCCCTATAGGTTAGATTGCGCCGGCAGGGAGCACACAGCTCGGGTTGCAAGGCTGGCAGACCGCCAACCCAGCATACGCGCACGCGGGGATGCGCAGCGAAAAAGCAATTGTATAAAAAATAAAAAAAAGCAACCAATAAAAACAAAAGAAGTGGAGGATGGCAAAAGCAAGGGGAAGGGCACCTGCGCGCGTGGGGAGGGCAGGGAGTGCCCACTGTTGGAACAGTCGCGTGCAAACACCGCTGTCACTGTGCAACTCCTTAGCCCCCCCCCCCAAAAAAAAAAAAAAAAGATTTTGTTAGGTGGAGTGTTTTGACAACAAGGGTTGAGCAATAGCACTTTGAACGCCTTATGTTTGTTTACCCTTTCCTTTCCCTGTTATTGCTCCCGTTTCCGGCTTGAGCGGCGTCGCCGTCAGGTCTCGACCCCTCCCCCGAGGTCACATGACCAGACCTGGGGGGGGTCACGTAAACCTCAGTTTACCTTTTTTTATACTTTATTCGCTCTCAATTTTACTAACCACTTCGTTCTGTTTTCTTTTTAAATCTAATAAAAGTTACTCGCTATCATCAAAACTGTATTGTGTTATTTTATTTTATGACATGCTTTTTAGAGAGTGACAGCATGTGGCGACATGGTGTCCGCCCATCTTGACCTAAAACAAAGTTCTGTGTCACTCAGGGAATTTCACAAAAGTACTCTGAGGAAACCTGAAAAACTCAGGGAATTTGAAAATGCCAACTTGGTAGACACATTGAATAACTCTATGGCAGATCACTACCTCAAACTTTCGTTAATGCGGGACTGCTTTTTAAAACTCTTTGCTGTTGAGAGGGTGCAAATGCATTGAACCCTATGGACGTTCGCTGGGGCCGCCAGATTTCTTCATTGCCACGAGAATTTCGTTCTTGAAAGGTTCAACTGTATTAGCAAAATACGAATCTAAATTAATTTATCCCACCCAAAATAAATTCCATGGCTCCTTTTTAAACACTGTGATTTTAACCAAGCCTCGGGTAAAAACAGTTTAGCTTTCTCGGCTCCCGATTGGACGCGTCGCAGGTTTCTGCCGGGCAAGCTTTGTCAACTAACGTCCCAACTCTTTAGCCCCGCACGGATGGTGAGAAATATCTCGCGGTGGCTGATGTTCGTTCTGAACCTTTCTTTATCCACCGGTGTATTTGGACGTCTGTACAGCAACAAAATGACTGAAAACTTGCAAGTTAAGCACAGGTTGTGGATTGCTTGCTTTATAGAATAGCAGACACACAATTCAAGCTCGTGTCCGATTTTGTTGCTCGTGGGACGTCATTTTTTTAGCAGAAAGTTCACTTTTTCTGCAGTTCTACTGTCCCGCATGGGGGACAAACCAGTCATCTGCTCTTGTTCCCTGCCTAAGTGATGCATGACGGGAGTGCATTCAGGTACACACTTAATTCTCAGGGTGCAGCGAGCGCATGCACGTGTGGAGTGCCGGCGGCGAAACAAACTCACTTCATGTTGCGAGTGGCTGCGCATGGGCACGAGTGCAGCGAAACAAACTCGCTATTGGTTTTCACATGTGGTCATGCACTGAGCACGAGCATGTAGCTTCGTCTTGCATCTTGTTCGCATGCAGAAGTTGCTTCGACGGCGTAGCAGAAATTACACTAGCCTTGACAATAAAGAACAAAGAGGCTTACGCCGAGCCTAGACACTGGTGCAAAAGACGGCCGAGCCAGAAAACCTAAGCCAAGTCGCCACAAAATTATGTTTCGAAATGGCTGAATTGGCAAGACTGAACCGCCACCAAACATGTTCTGTTGTAGAACACAAACGTACATCCCCTGACACGAACGTCCAAAATATACTTACAATGGCTAGCGACGCCTCATAAAGGTCATGCAGTGACCCTCTGCTTGGCCGGTTAAGCCACACGCAGTGCCATGCAGAGTACAGGACGACGCCCGTGAGCCAGCCGGTGCGGTGACTCCGGGCCTGCCCGTAGTTTTCCGCTGCTACCTTGGACAAGGCGAAAGCGAGCTCATCGATGCAATGATCCCCGGGACCTGTGGTGTATAACTATTGTGATTAAAAGTCTTACAGTCGCCGACCAATGTCACTTAGTCAAATGAAAATGAAAGAAGCGAGATGTCTTCTTCCACATTTTGCTGTTCTCTATTTTTGTTCCTTTTACATCTCTAGTTGTAAGATCAATGTTGACCAAGTTCTTTTTTGTTATCAACTTGTTCGCATTAAAATCTAAAATTTTACAACAGGGTAGAGTTGTAAAACCAAGAGGGGCTCCCAACACACGCATGCAGCCCCCCCACCCCACTTCATGGGGGTTGTCCTACGCAAGTATGTAGCTGCGCTGTAGAGAAGCATGATACACATGATCTACACGGACTTTTAGCTGCATTCTTCCATGAATCTAATGTCCGCCTGGCCGTATAACTTATAACTGTCATAACTTTCACTTTTTCTTTGAAATCTGTAAATGTTAAAAAAGAAAACCTGTATAACCATAGCTAAAAAAAATCTGACACTTGAATTGCTAAAAACAGTTTGGGGACTTCCAAGAGCGATTATTGCATAAAACAGCTTGTCAATGGTCAGAGCCTAGCAAAGCTCAACCAGCATGGCACTGCCAACAGCGCTGATGTCACTTGCATGACACATCCACATGCCGTGCCAATCATACATGGAACGCATGAAAGCATGGCGGGCAGTCCATGCAGCGTTGACTGTTGGTGGCTGCGGAAGCTCGGCGCAGACACAGAAGCACCAAAGGCGGAGGATGGCACATGTTTTCTGTTGCAGCAATGTCCTTTTGCTCGGCACACCGCCAAAAAACATTTCCGATTGGCGTTCAACATTTCTAATGGTAATCGTCTTATCTGTATGTACTTGGCTGAAAGAACCGTGAGGACATTGAGAAAATCGTGTTCCGCAGTCAATTTACCTGCCCTTCGTAGTACACTATGTACTGGCGCGTGACGTTGCTCTGTGTTCCTAGTATTATATTTCTCTTTTTTAGATGGCTGCAAAAGACGAGGACAAAGACATTACAGCAGCACTGCCAATAGTTTCTCCATATTGAGTGCTGAATTCCTGTGAAGCAGGATACGTTTCTCAAACCTTGCTGGTGCCATGGCCACAAAACGAACAAGTGATATTGATGCATGCCTTTTATATGGTCGGTGACAACTCAAGAAGGTAGGGGAAGAAAAAGGAAGGTGGGAGAGGACGAGATGGATGCAACGCCGGCGAAGGGAGAGGGTTTGACCAGCATTGTGCCCGCTTCCTCCTCTCCCACCTTCTTTTCCCTGACCCTACCTCCTTAACCTGCAACATAGTTCAAATCAAACTGCAAAATTTCTTTGAGGCTCGAGAGTGAAAGCAGCTTGTCAGGATGTATTTTGTGTGAATACCATTTAGCTGAAGCACATTGTTTTTGTGGACTCAAGGTACGTGGCTAAAAAGTCAATGCCAGGGATCTTTGTGAGAAAAAGAACATTTAAAAGATATCCTCGGCCGCAGTTGGCTCTTTAGGTCACATATTTGACGATAGGTATTGTTAACACATATTTATGTGAACACCAGGATGCTGTTTTGATGGTAACATACTAAATGGTGATAAAAACAAAAAAAAACAAAGCTGGGAGTAGAAGCACGTTATCTACCTTTCCTTACCAAAGAACAATGAAACGATTAGTCACCTGCTCAGGACTTTGGTCGTCTGCTTAGTTGTGGGCGACGCCTCTGCGAGCGTCAACGACAGCCCCCATTCTAGCGTGCAGAGAGCCATACAGTGCTTCTGTAAAGGATGCCTTCACCATCAGACTTTTAACAGAGCGGTCACTCCTTTTTTTTTCTGCGCACCGAACGAAAGGACGGTACAGTAGCAGACGACGCCAGCGTGCACGGCTGCTGGCGTCACTGCGTGTGCTCCAAGCTTCCGCGGGTGCTTGCGGTCCTCGCTGCATGGAGCACTGGCTACGCACTCGCGTGCTCCCTTCAAGATTGGACTGCTCAGTGCACCGCTAGGAAAAGCAGTACAAAACATACCGTGACGATGCATCAGGGGCATGCACTGGTCCCCTGAAGTGTGCTTCGAACCATGTGCAGTGCAGGGTGCAGCACAGCATCCGCGTGAGTCAGCCGCGGCAGTGATTCGGGGCTCGTAGTGTTCTGCGGCTGCCTTGAAAAAGTGAGGGCCAGCTCTTCGCACCTCCTCTGAAAAATGTTTTACAACAGAGAGGTCAGTTATCTCCCTGCCTCTCATTGCCTTTCTGCTGTCCTGTCCTTTGTTCGAGAGCAATCGCTGCTATATTGTGTCTCAGCACGATCACCTTAGTCATACAAAGGAACGTGCAGATAAAGATCATTATTATTAAAGCACGTTTTACCTTCACATTCAAACTTCGGGCCTCCTGCTTTCTCCTCGCGTGTGGCGGCAAGCGTCTGTTGAGGCTACCATGCTTCGAGACGGGTCCATATCACAAGAGCGAATGACATTTTAGCGAACGGCGACATTTGAGCGAATGGTCGTTTTAGCGAATAACGGGGGCGCCCGTTAACCCATCCGCCGCGCTGCGCTTTACGCCGCTTCGCGGCGACAGTCTGCGGCAACTCATTACAAAAATATGAACTCACTTGGCCCACCCGAAAACGCCGCTTCGCGGCGTCCGACTATTCGCTAAAGTGTCATTCGATGAAACGTGGGCGTTCGCTAAAACGTCATTCGATCAAGTGAGTGCCTCCCCTTGCGGGTATACGGAAGCTTCCAAAATTGTGAGCGCGCTCCTAAGCCTTTGCGGAGGGCTCTGCTAGCCGTCACGTCCGCATGTTCTACCGAACGATTTCGGGCGAGCGGTTGGTAAAGGCAGCTCAAGAAACAAATCGACACGTTGAGCGCACGAAACCCAATTCAAATCCGCTTGGATGGCATCAGCATTCAGCACCGACCGACCATTCCCGCCATTTCTGGTAGCGCCTTTGTTCCCGGACGCACCGGACTAAATTATGTCAAACGACTCCAAACGGAACTGAAGCACTAAAGTGCGGTGAACACTCACCTTTATGAATACCTCCTGTTCTTGGTGTTCTTGGAGATGTACGAGAGGTATTTGGCGGCTCTGGCGGTTCGCGATCGACGCCGGCACTCATCCGGCGAAACTGAGTGCATACATTGTTTTTGTTGTCAACGGCTGCCACTGCGCACGGTCAACCTCGTTCCACTCGAGAACTTGAGCTGCTTCAGCTGGTTATCGACGGTTAATACGTCGCCACCCAACACCTGAATGTAGAACGACAACAAAAACATTGCCCCCGCGGCCAAGGGCGCCAAGGCGGAACAGAACGGAACCGTACCAGCCAAAATTAAAAAATCAAGCAAGGAAAAAAAAAAAAAAAAAAAGTAAAAACAAACAAAAACAAAAAAAGTACTTTTTTTGTATATTTTTACTTTAAAACGTCATCTAAAAATCAACAAAATAACAAAACCGGAAGTGACGTCATTTTTTTTCAGCCAATCGGCGTTTCCAGTTTTACTGCCCCGAAACGCTTGTCTGGGACACAGGGTTGAGACTTTGGGCCTGAGCCACGCGGGAGGGAGTCCCAATTTTCCTCTGTCCCGCCTGTCCCCAGCTGTGCTAGTTAGTTGTGCATCATTCAATTTTCCCTAGATAATTTCCACCAATCTTCTAACCGCCTCTTTGTTATTGTGATCCTCTTCTCCTCCGTCCTCCCATCGTCGCCAGCAAAGCCCAGGGCCCCGGCCAAACCCGTCACACCCTCAGGAGGGGCAGGACGAAGCCTCGTGCACCTTAAAACTAGGTGCTCAAGTGTCTCACTCTCATCACGGCATGCAGCGCATAATGTGTCTATCTCCTGAAATTTAGCCCTATACGTCTTCGTCCTCAAAACTCCCGTTCTCGCCTCGAAAAGTAAAGAACTTCCCAGCGAGTTGTCAAACACATTTTCCTTTCGTATGTCCTTTTTTTGTGACCTGTAAACCGTTAGAGTCGATTTTTCCTGCATTCTTCCCTCCCACATTTTCCTCTCTGCCTCTTTCACTCCCTTTTTCACTGAAGTCGTCTGCTCAGCCCCATCATTAGTGAGTAGGTATTTAAATGTAAGCTTTCGGGTTCGGTTTGTCCATTTTGTGTTTATGCTTTTCATGTATAAATACTTGTACACCTTACGTGCCCATCTCGTATCATCCATTTCAGTCAACCTTTGTTCAAATTTCAACTTACTGATTGCTTCCCTGCTCTCAAAAGACGACCAGCCCATGTCCCCCTGCACTCCCTCATTTGGTGTGTTTCCATGTGCTCCCAGTGCCAATCTGCCTACGCTTCTTTGCCGAATTTCTAATCCTGATTGAACCTCTGATTTCATGCAGAGCACCCCATTGCCAAAAGACAGTCCAGGTACCATCACTCCTTTCCATATACCCCTGACCACCTCATATCTATTATAGTTCCATAGTGCCTTGAGCTTCATAATAGATGAATTTCTTTTCCCTTTTCTAATTATATTCTCCTCATGTTCTTCTAGATATTTCTTTCCCTCATTGAACCAGACTCCCAGATATTTGTATTTTTCTACATGGTCTATTAAAATGTCTTGTATCCGCAGGGGTCCCCTCTTTTCATCATTAAACACCATTACTCCAGATTTGTCGCTACTAAAGCTCATGCCCAAGATGTCCCCTTCCTCTCCACACATGCCGGCTAGTTCCTGTAACATATCCTGGTTGTCTGCCATAAGTAATATGTCGTCCGCATACATCAATCCTGGTATTACCTGTCTTACCTTTCTCCCTCCTTCCATATAACTCACATCAAAACCTAAGTTGCTCTGCTCTAATTTCTTTTCCATTTCCCTGAGATATATCATGAAGAGCAGAGGCGACAGTGGACAACCCTGCCGGAGCCCTCTTTTTATTGCTGCGGGTTGTGTAAAATAAAAATAGTGATGGTGATAGCGATGTGTGTTTTGTAAAAACTCCGAGGACAAAGGTAGTCAATGTTTTTTCTTTAAATTTATGTATGGCACCTGCAAACGCTCTGGAAAACATACTTCACCTAGCAAAACTTCATTAAAATCATGGTGACAAAATAGTCTAAAGTTTAGGCATTTAGACGTGTTGAAATACACTTGGCAATGTCTATGTGGAGTGCAAGTTCGTCCGTTTCTTTTGCAGGGGTTGTGGCGATGTCAGAATGCAGAGCTCTGATTGAAGGATAGTGGGTAGACCTGAAGGCAGCTAGCATTGTGTACCCACCATCCTTCAATCAGAGCTTGGCATTTCGACGTCACTACAACCCCTGCAAAAAAAAAGCAGAAGAACCTGCACTCCGCATAAACTTTTTCTCAGTAATTAAATGCAAACAGAACAGACCTGGGAACCCTTCTTGCTGATAGCCTTTCCTTGAAAGTGTGAATGGTCAAAAGTCAATGCCATGATAAGGTGAAATACTTCGGACATAGCATGCTAAGGTGGCAAGAAAAATTAAACAGGGATAGCTATCTTCTTTTTATCAAACTTTTCGGAGCTTCATCTTTTGTATAATTACTGTCGTATAAAGAAGACAAAGTCTGGCGGCATGTGAGACGGTGAGCTGGCTGGGCCACGCGTGAGGGTCCGAGATGCGCATGACTGGCAGATACGCTTAAGGTTCGATAAAGGACTCACGGGTATTGGTTTGCGGCCCCGGGCTTTGACCTTTCTCTCGCCTTGGAACACGACATGGTGGCAGCAGTGGGATACTACTGAACAATCCTCCATCGTTGCTCGGGACCTGAGAAGCCGCACCAAACTCTGCAGTTCGACCGAACGGCCAGCAAAGAAGATTCGAGCCGCTGCTAGATCTACGCCATGACTAGCAACGCAGACGGTTCGGGGGCTTCAATCTCCCAGGCCAGCGGAGGACTTTCCTTCTTCAACCCCTTTGCGGTCAAGCTACCGGAGAAGCTGGATTTCAGGAATCCGAGCGACTGGAAGCGATGGATCATTCAGTGGGGCCGCTACCGGATCATCTCGGGGCTTCATCTCTGTGACGCTTCGACTCAGGTGAAAACCTTCATCGAAGCGATGGGCAGAGGATGTCCTTTCTTCGCTCGTGATGACACAAGAGGAGCTGAACGACTACGACATAGTCAAAGCTAAGTTCGACACGCACTTCATTCCGCGGGTGGACGTCATCTTCGAGAGAGTGAAGTTCAATTCTAGAAAGCAAGAGCTGGACGAGCCTGTGGAGGTCTTTATCACGGCATTGCACAAATTGGCGGATACCTGTGACTACGGCCCTTTACGGGACGAGCTCATATCGGACCACATTGTCGTCGGACTCCTGGACAGGAAACTAAGTGAGAAACTCCAGCTCGATGCTAAGCTTACACTGCAGCGCGCGACTACGGCAGCTTGATCATCAGACGGTAAAGCGCCAACAGACTGAGCTACGCAGCACAAAGACAAACGGCGACGTTCTTGAAGAACTCAGAAGACAGCCGAAAACAAAAAGCGAGAACAAGGACTTTCGACGTCCGAACATGTTGCCTCTCCAAGCCCTGTCTAATATAATTCGCCATGGACGTGCCGATGGTGTGGCAGTTCACGGAAACACGCCAAGTCTCAATGTGCCGCAAAAGACAAGAAGCGCAACGCCTGCAAAAAGCTAGGCCACTTTGAGAGTGTCTGTTTTTCCAAACACACTCGAGAAAACTTCAGTATACAAGAGCACAGACAAGGACTGAATGAAGTCTTCCTCGGCGAGTTGGTACACTCAAGCAATGGGCAATGTACCAGGGGAAGCCTGGTACATTACAGCCAAAGTAAACAACCAAGACATCACATTCAAGGTGAACACGGGGGCGGACGTCACAGCTATCCCTCCCAATATGTGCGACGCGACAACGTTTGCAACTTTGCAGACAACAGGGACGGATCTTTATGGAGCAGGCCACACTCCGCTGAACACGCTAGGCAGGTTCACGGCGACGGTAACCTGGAATGGGCGCACTACTAGAGAAATCATCTATGTGTCCGACCAGCTAAAACACCCATTGCTGGGGCGGCCTGCAATTGAAGCCCTTCAGGTGCTACCTAGCTTGAACGAAGTCAAAGCCGAAAGCAAGCCGGAGTATGACCACCTCCGTAAAAAGTACCCCTTGCTTTTCCAAGGACTGGGGAAAATGAATGTGGAGTACAAGATCGCGCTTCACCCTGATGCGAGATCATTTGCAATCACATACCCGAGACGGGTACCTCTACCTCTGCTACCCAGCACTCAACAGGAATTGCAACGGATGCAAGACATGGACGTTATTGAAAGAGTTGACCATGCAAGAGCATGGTGCGCACCCATGGTGGTGGCTTAAAAGCAAGACAGTTCTCTTCGTATCTGCGTGGACTATACACAGCTAAACCCGCAACTGGTGCCGGAGCGGATTATCATGCCAACCGTAGAGGAGAGCTTGGCAAGACTCGCCGGGGCGACTGTATTCAGCAAACTAGATGCCAATGCCGACTACTGGCAAGCACCACTAGCCCCAAAGTCAAAGGAACTGACGACTTTTATCACACCAGTGGGACGGTTTCAATTCAAAAGACTCTTGTTTGGCATTGCGACAGCGCCCGAAGCCTTTCAGCGGGAGATGCTAAGGATCCTAGAGGGAATCCCAGGACAAGTATGTCATATGGATGACATCTTAGTTTTCAGTCGTGACAAAAGGGAACACAACATAAATCTTGAGTTGGTACTCCCCCGCCTCCACGATTCCGGAGTGACCCTGAACACCTCAAAGTGTGAGTTCTCCAGAAAGAGCATCAGGTTTCTGGGCCACCTTCTGGACAGCAGGGGCATTGCGGCAGACCCCAAGAAAACGGAAGCGATCGTCCAGATGTCGGCACCTGGAAGCTTGGCAGACCTGCGATCATTCTTGGGGATGGTCAACCACCTTGAGAAATTTCTTCCCGACATAGCCGAGAAAACTAAGCTGCTTCGAGATCTGCTACACGAGGATGCTAGCTGGCTCTGGAGTGAGCCTCAGGAAAAAGCATTCCTTAACATCAAAGATCTCCTATGCAAGACTCCTGTGCTCACACTCTATAAACCGGATGCACAACTTACATTGTCGGCAGATGCGTCTTCGTTTGCACCGGGGGCGGTTCTGCTCCAAGAGGAAAACGGCAAAAGACGCCCAGTGGTATACGCATCGAGAGCTACGACACAAATGGAGCAGAGATACGCCCAAAGTTGAAAAGGAGGCTTTGGCCATCGTATGGGCCTGTGAACATTTCCGGACCTACTTGGTAGGAAAGGGATTCCACATCGAAACAGACCACAAGCCTCTGGTGCCACTGTTCACAACGAAACGTCTTGACGAAATGACACCAAGGCTACAGCGTCTGAGGATGCGCATCTTTGAGTATGACTTTGCAATATCCCACGTACCGGGCAAAGAGATGTTCACCGCGGATGTCTTCTCCAGGAAACCCCCTACCGACCACATGCCAGTCTACAGACTCAAGGCACACCGTGGAGATCAGTGAAACGTTAATTTACGAGTATGAAATGCTAACATTGGAGCTCCTTCCAGCCTCTACCTCATTTTTGTCCAGACTGAAGGCAGAGCTTTCAAAAGACCCAACCACATCAAGGGTTATGGAATACTGCGAAAAACAATAGCCGGCAAGGAACAAACTTCCTCCGAACTTAAGCAAATTCGCGAGTCTCGCCGCAGACCTTTCGGTTGTGCAGGGATTACCAATGCGTAACGACCGGCTGGTGATCCCGCCTAGTCTGCAAGGAGAAGTCTTGGAGCGATTGCACAGCGGCCATCAGGGTGTTGTCCGATGCCGGGCAAGAGCCAGACACTCCGTCTGGTGACCTGGCTTAAGCACGAAAATACATGACTATGTGAGTCGCCGTCCTAGCTGTCAGCAATATAGACGATCACATACAGAACCCCTTCTTCAGACTCCACTACCCGATCGTCCCTGGCAGGAAATTGGAACGGACCTTTTCTAGTTCAGGGGGAAGAAGTATATTGTCATCGTCGACTACTACTCGAAGTTCTTCAAACTTGAAGAAATACCTCGAACAACCACAGAGGACATTATCAAGGTTTTCAGCCAGAACTTCGCTAGACACAGTTGCCCAGAAGTCATCCGCTCCGACAACGGTCCCCAGTTTGGCTCAACCAAGTTCCGGTGATTCGCCAGAGAGTGCAGAGTCGAACTGGTTACTTCAAGCCTGTATTATCCCCACAGTAATGGAGAAGCGGAGAGAGCGGTGCAGACTGCAAAGAAAACCTCGAATTCAGCACAAGCTCTTCTGGCCTACCGAACCATCCCTGGGCCCAAAGGGTTTTCCCCTGCCGAACTTTTGATGGGGCACAAGTTACGCTCCACTCTTCCAACGGCGCCCAGTACCTCTCTGGCAACACTCCAGGAGGTATCGGCAATGATACAGGAAACGGAAGACAAGAGAGGCGTCTAACTATAATAGGTGCCACCGTACAAGAAATGGCAGGGAGCTACACCCACACGCAGCAGTGTGGATTCACGCGGGAGCGGCCGGACCACCTTGGTCTTACCTTGTAGAAACCGACCAAGGAACGATACGACGCACACGGCACCATCTCCCGCCCGGGATTCCCGACAGCGACAGCCAGCCGGCCGGTTACTGGGAGAACGATCCTCAAGCAACCATAACACGAAGTGGGAGAATTTCACGACCACCGGAACGCTATGGACGATGAGGCCGAAAGGGGGAGGCGTCGTATAAAGAAGACGAAGTCTGGCGGCATGTGAGACGGTGAGGTGGCTGGGCCATGTGTGAGGGTCCGAGATGCGCGTGACTGGCAGATACGCTTAAGGTTCGATAAAGGACTCACGGGTATTGGTTTGCGGCTCCGGGCTTTGACCTTCCTCTCGCCTCGGAACACGACAATTACCTTCTCGCATGTTTCACAGTAATCTGTGGCATGGATTTACCACACTCTTTTTGTGACGTGTACCAGTAGGTGTGCACTGTCATGAGAAAAAAATACAATTTATTTAATTACGACAGGGAGCCACGAGAGGGGAAGATGGCAAGTCCCGATCCACCAAAAAGGACAGGGCATAAGAGTGAAGTCTTGCAAGGCTTGGTCCACGATTCAGGACGGTTTGAAACCTATGATGAACGAAGAGAACAAAGGAGTCCATCAGGTCAACAGGAACAATATCTGACCTAAACATGCAGGGCAATGAAGAGCAGGGGCGAATTTATAGGTCAGGCTGGGTGGGGTGGAGAGGGGAGAAGGGGGAGTTTGCAAGGAGATACTTATTTCACGGGCAAAATGCAGCCCAGATGTGTTTTGTTGACCTAATATTTGTTATGTCACCAAAAACTAATAATTTCTTCCTAAGAAAAGCTGGGGTATGTTGATTTTTCATTAAGAAAAAGTTAACCTGAAAAAGAAACAACTCCCCCTCCTTTAAAAAAAAAAAAAAATCTGCTAATGATGCAGAGCATTTGAGTATGCACCAAAACACTGAGGGAGAGGGGGAGACGAGAATGTGTGTGGACGTCAGAGCACAGAGCTCTGGTTGGAATGACTAGTGGGTAGACCTAAAGGTAGTATACGGCTAGCAGTTCAAGAGGAGGAAAAGAAAGAACTCCGCTCTTGCTCACAGTGCTTGGACCCTTATTTTTGTACCCGCACATCACCATTCTTCCCTTGGAAAATTAGCCCCTTGATGCTCTTCGCTCAACATTCGGACGAAATTTGCCAATCCCCCCCCACTCCGGCCTGTGGCTTCTACAGTACTACGCACAAATATCCTCCGTGAACCCCTAAACTGACAGTGCTGTGGAAACTATGTGCTCCTTGGGCCTGTCGCGCTTGAGAATCTTTTGCCACATGATCACGCTCCCTCACTTATAGCCACATTCGCAGAATGGGCTCAGGTGATGGACAGGGGGGCAGGCGAGGTTTGTCAACTAACGTCCCAACTTTTCACCCCCGCACGGATTGCGACAGATCTCGCGGTAGCTGACGTTTGTTCTGAACCTATCTTTATCCGCTGATGTAATTCAATGTCTGTCTGGCAACAAAATGACTAAAAACTTGCAAATGAAGCACAGGTTGTCGATTGCTTGCTTCACAGAATGAATAGCACAGCTCGCGTCCGATTTTGTTGCCCGTGGGACGTGCTTTCTTTTTTTTTTAGGTTCTCTCGTCTCTTATGGCGGAAAAACCCCAGTTGTCTGCTCTCGTTCCTCTCCTGAGTGCTGCATGACGGGAGTGCATTGTGGTGCACACTTGACTCTCAAGGTGCAGCGAGTGCATGGACGCATGGAGTGGCAACGCCGAAATGAACTCGTGAAGTACACTGGGCACAAGCACTGGGCACAAGCATGTGGCTTCGTCTTGCATCTTGTTCGCGTGCAGAAGTTGCTTCGACAGTATTGCAGAAATTACACTAGCCCTGACAATGAAGTACAAAAAGGTTTGTGTTGAGTCTAGACACTGCTGCAAGATTGCCAAGCCAGGAAACCTAATCCGAGCCACCACTAAATGTGTTCCGTTTCAAAATGGCCTAATTGGCAAGACTGAACTGCCACCAAATCTATTCCGTTGTACAGCACCAAAGCACATTGTGTCAAAAAATATACTTACAATGGCTAGCGACGCCTCATAAAAGTCACGCGATGACCCTCTGCTTGGCCAGTTAAGCCACACGCAGTGCCGTGCAGGGTACAGGACGGCAGCCATGAGCCGGCCGGTGTGTCGACCCAGGGTCCCGCCCATAGTGTTCCGCTGCTACCTTGAACAAGGTGAAAGCCAGCTCATTGATGTCATGGTCCTCGGGACCTGTGGTGTGTAACCATTGTGTTTAAGTTTGATAGTCACCAACCAATATTTCGGACTCGATGGGGATGGCGCAAAACTCAGAATAATCGAGCAGTCCGAAAAAATGAATTCTGCCTAAAAATCACTTTATTGCGATTTTAAGCGCAAAGTTGCTACAGAAAGTGATTGATACAATAGACTCACAATAATTGAAGCTTGGATATTTTGTACTTCCGGATAATTCAAACAGGTTTCAAAACTTTGGTTGTCCCGCTATGTTTTTAATGTATTTATAAGCCGCTTAATCCGAATGGCGTTTCTTTTTGTTCTCGCGGCCCCGTTGAGTGCGCTTCTTTCCGAGCACCGGTGCACCACAGAGAAGCAATACCTGCGGAGCGTGCTTTCAGTGCACCGGTGCTCATAAAGAAGCACACTCAACGGGGCTCAAGCGGGCACATATTAGCGGAAAACAGCGTTCACATTATGTGCTTCAAGACTAGCAACGATGACCAAGACGACATAGAGGATGAGGAACA